GGACTGGGGAGAGAGAAAGAAGAAAAAACGAGGACTAGACATGCAAAAGAGGAGGTAAAAATGAGCTATCTACAAGGCTGAGAAGAAAACCACACACATCATACTATGCGATGTGGTACGATGGAGTTTATGTCCTGTCAGTCCATCTGGTGTACTCCGTAGAAACACCTTTGAGTGCCGGGATGTGATTGGATCCGCGAGGATCGGGATATCGGTATAGATGCTAGAAGGGAGGAAGAATACGATGAATTAGAGAAAGAAAGGAGACAAAAAAGACAATGACCACGGGATGGCAAAGAAGCGAAGGTCAGGGGGAGAGCCGCTGGCAAGGCAGAAAAAGAGTGGGAAAGCCGGTTTGGGGGGAAAAAGAAAGAAGATGGATGATAGTTAGGAAAAAGAAAGAAAAGGGAATAGTCGTATCGACGTGAAGCGAAGTATTAACGCTAGGTCTGGCATATCGGAATGGCAGGAAGAGCAGACGGAAAGGGAGGAAAAGGAAGAATAACAGGAGAATGCGGATGACCATCCAGTAGTCGGAGAAGCATGGTGAGTAAGGGGATGATGCGGATCCGATCCGGGAGAAGCTGAAAGTCGTAGAAGCGATAAACCAAATAGCAGCAAAAGGGAGAGGGATGGTGAATAAACGAATATCAAGTTGGTAGCCGTTCCGTCGTAGTCATCGTACAGAAGATTGAAAACTGTATTAAAAAGGGGGCGCAATGTGTAATAAGGATTGCGCACCGGGGGGAGTCGTAACTGCGTCTTTCTCGTCAGGTCACATATCAAGAAGTTCAGAAAGGTTGAAGCAAAAGCGCAAGTAGTAAAGATAAGTAAGAAGAGCAAGGAGACCGAGATGTGAGGATGTATAGTGGTATGCTTGTTGATTGTGTTGTACCTGGGTGTTCAAATTTGGTCGCATGTGTGGTGTGGTGTAGTTAGTTATAGGGTCGGCCGGTGGGTTAGCTATCAGCGTCTCCTTCGCTGAGCACTGTCGAGACGGTTATCCAGGGATTCAACACGAGAGCGAAACGACTTTACTATATCTCTGATGCGCCGGATCTTGTCGAATTCCGTCTCTAGCTCGTCGATGGAGAGAATTATCTGTCTGACTCGTGCGATTTCCTTATCGGCGTCCGCAACGACGTTGCCGGCCTGGTCGTAGGTATTTTGTATCGATATCTCCGATTGCTCGTTCAACTGGTACAATTAGCCGCCTGCATGTAAGCTACAGAGACATGTGTTCATCGTATTGGAGAAGCATACATAGTCAATCCTCCGCTGGATGTCCCTCATGAGGTGGTCGAGCTGGTAGTAGAGGGCCTGCAGACTGTCTGGATCCAGGAGCAGTCTCCCCTGCGTGCTGGCGGCGCTGGCAGCCCTTGAGCTGGCGTTGCTATTCCTCGCCATCCCCCTCCCCCTTGCGATGCTGCCATTATGGCTCCCTTGCAATGCGATCTGCTGCTGGTGGACAACCATCTGCCACTCAGACGACGTGAGGCCAAGACGGGCATCGGGAATAGACGTTGATACGGACATTGGGGATGGGCCTGGTATATCAGAGACATGCTCCTCAAAACATAGAGACGCCGTCAGGGAGCTGGATCAAGACTGATATGTGGCAGAGGACGCCGCTCATGGTGGATGGGAAGAAGGAAGGGCGAAAAGCGTTTGCGAGGGATAAGCGGCCGCCGCAGACTGCACCGTCGACTCTCGACTCCAGCCGGCGATAGATGTCGGTTTTCGGCTTCACGATGGGGGGCTTTTTTCACGCTGTTGTTCGCTGTCTTCTTGTCCTTTGAGATATCTGGTTCGAGGCGGAGGGCGACGGGGCGGGAGAGGACGAGGAGGGCAGCGAAGAGGTGGCGAAGATACAGACAAGCCGCGAGAACACTAGCTAACTATTATCACCAACTAGTTATCTCGACCGCACCGGATTGCAAGGAGTGACGGGGAGAAAGAAAGAGACAGGAAAAAATCCGCCCAGCGAGCGGGCGCTTCTTCTGCTTCTTCTCCTTCCTCTGCGTCTTCCACAGAAGATCTCAAGACGCAAAGAGTAGAAGAGAAAAAGAAAGGAAACAGGCAAAGAAAAAGAAACAAGCTGGCAGTCAGTCAGTCTTCTGCTGCTGCTGCTGCTGCTCTTTAGGGGGTCAGGGAGGGCGGCCGAGGATGCGACCACAGGCTGCAACGCGGACGGCCGGACGGGATGGACAGGCTGTTCTCCTGTAATTTATATAGTTTATAACTATAGTTTGTGTGATGGTTATCATCGACCTGTGTCCATGGACGGGGGGTGTGGGCGGCTAATTTGGTTGCATGACCTTTTTATCCAGCATCTAGTTGTGGATGATTTGATATTTAGCTACTTGGGTACCTAGGCAGGCAGTTGGTTATATGATATTTGATATCTGGTATGCCTGCTTGCTCTCCGTATAACTAACTGCCTAGAGAACCGCCGGTGAAGAGCCGCAAGATCGCGGCCAACACGAGCGATCAGATAACTAACTACTAGGTATGCTCCCGTACGGCTGCCCAAGATGAGGCAGCGGCGGTCTCTCTGCGCATGAAATAAACGTATAAACGCCTGATTCCCGTTGCTTTTATCTCTCTCTTCTACCCCAGACGTTCAAGCGTCTTCTCTAGAGAAACGCAGGCCCAATGACAGGCGGCAGGCGATATGCGATATGTACGACGACGTTACAGCCGTCCAATCCTAGCCCCGGCGGGCCTCCCGCTGGTGTTTAATGTGCCTCGTAGACGTTGCGAGCTGCAGGTTTCCTGCATCGGGCGGCCTGCGGCGAATAGGATTCCCATATCTCGATCTCTCCTGCTTGACATTTGATAACCAACAAAAAAAAGAAGAAAAATAAAAAAATAAGCCGAATAGCTAACCATTCCACTGGTGGTTAAGCATACAGCTTCTCTTTTCTGGCTACGTTGCCTCTCTCTACCAGACTGATATGGCCGATTTCGTCTCGCATTCGAGAGTCGCCTATAAGACCCGGTATCGACCGGAGAGCGTCGCGCTGGTTGAGTATTCCTCCTCCTGGCCTGGCAGGGTTTTGACGCCGGGCACGTACCTCTTCGGCACAGTCCACTCCAAACGAGAATATGCTGTATCCATCCAGCACTTCGGACCAGCGTCGTCGAAAACCGTACATGATACCCAGTACAGCACTGCCCGTGGCCCATAAGATCAATAGCACGGCAGGTAGGGTCAGAGGGACCGACCCTGGGACAATGATCTTGTCCTTTCGTGTGGATGTTGCGTTGGCGAGGTTGAACGCTAATTCGCTTGAGAATGTTGCACCTTCATACATTAACTGCAAGGCCTCCACGGCATAAGCTTGTGAAATGGACTGTAGAAGCGTGCTGGCCTGGAGGTAATTTGCGAAGGCTGCTTCTAATGATGTAGTAACAGGAGATGAAGAATGTGTTGATCTGAAATGGTCCAAGTAGTGGCCCCGAAGTATCATGTCGCAGATTGACCCAAATGGCCCGAGTCCAAATGCTAATTTAGGCTTAGGAGGATTAGCAGTCTCCGTGAAGGAGGTATATGTGCCATCGGCAGAAACGTTTGCATGGCCGAAAGCAGAATTTCGAACGCAGCGAACTCCAATCGGTGCCGCCACTGGCGAAATACCAGGGGGAAGTACTGCATGGTCCGGTCCTTCTAAAAAGTCATCAGGATCCGGAAGACTTAATGGGTAATATGCATATTGAGACCGGGTTCCATTGACATCAATAGCAGAGAGGAATGTCTTGTTAAACGGCATGGTCCCATTAGAAGGTTCAAACATCACCGGGTGGCCGAGACCAGGGATAGGATCATTTATAGAGAAGTTGAAGTCTACGTCCTTGCCCGCGAGGGGATACATGTATGCCTGCCAGACGACGTATTCTAAAATTTCGACTCCGGATGATGCACTGCTGTTTGTGGTAGATATAAAGATTTCTTCCTCAGTCGAATGCGAGTTTGTTCCCATCTCTGTATAGGCGAATAGGCTGGTATCATAATTTGTTGTGTCCATGTCGCCCAAAGTAGAGTTGAATGCGAATATGACGTCTTTCGTGGGAGTCTTTAGTGTGAGGTATGGATACCCCCACGCAAACTCCTTTGCCCACGGATATTTACGTTCATTGTACGTAGAGTATAGCTTTTGGTTGAGGATAGTGAGTTCCGACACTGATTTCACAATTGAACAATTGCATCCAATTCGCAGGCCCCATACCCTACCTTGAATCGGCGTTTCAGCCTGAGGGGCAAGAAATATATCAGGAATCACACCGTCAATCGGAATGGAGTTTGGTGTTGTGTTAAATGATGGGTGTGTGCCTCGATTAACCCGGCCAGGAGGAGTATACGCAATGCCGAAAGCCGGGATGGTAGTAACGGCTCCCTCTTTCCAAGAATTAAGCGTTCGCTCGTATGTCTCGCGGGCTGCTCTCCAGGCGTAATTGTCAAAAGTACGGCCTATGACTCGTGGAGGATCCGGCAAAACAACATACCCCTCCGAGAGCTTGAATCCTAAGCCGGAGAGAGGCAAGGCAATTGATGCCAGTAGACTCAGAGTAGCTAATGTGTACCAGAGACGATATGCTTTCTGGTTCCTCTCTATCCAGGCACCTCTAAGTGCCATTATCCAGCCCACTGGCCCGCTCCAGCTTGCTCCACAGTGCATCAAGAGGCCCATAGCATTGTTGACTTGCCAGAAGCTGTCCTGAAGCATGGCGGCCTCGATTCCGAGAAGTGCGTACCGAGACAAGTTGAGGCCAAACACTCCCACAATGAACCAGGAGTAATACAGCCAGGTTTCTCCCGGAAGTCCGTATTTAATAAGATCATTCTCCCTTCTGAGTACAATATTGCGGATTACAAAGTAGTAAACCGTCACCAGAGTTGGGACAAACATTGCCATGAACGCTCGGGCGTAAAACCGAGGGAGATGGTATCCATAGTTTAGGGCAGTCTCATTGATGCTTTTGATTTTGTGCTCGTCATCGACGTGGCTTGTGTAGTTGTTGTCTCTGTGATCTATGTCAGCTTAAAGGGTTCTCCAGCAAACGATCAGTATCAACTTACAGTGGAAGGCCCAAGAGCAAGCTCTCGGTGCTGGCTCGCGACGGTTGAGAAGCCATGGCTGGTTCTACCCACTCAATCTATGCACTCAAGTAGCTGGAACTCGCCAATGTATATACCTAGGTATATATGCACCTTTAGATAGTAGATACAGCTCAGCATGCTGTTTGTTGGTCCCGTACAGCACCGCCTATCCACCGAGTCCAGCTGAGGCAGGGGTATAAATGTTGGTTCTAGCCATGTCGGTATAGAGTATGCCAGCTCATCCATATTGATTACGACGGCGAGGCTTCCGTTTGGTTGCTGAGGCCGTCTGGTTGAATGTTGTGATTGTTTGTAGTTGGTTGTAGCAGTTGAAGCCGACAAAGGCTGAAGTTGCCAAAAAGAAACGTTCAAAAATCACCACTCCTAGTTGATAATTTGACACAATACAACATTTACACCAACCACGACTCCGCCGCCAATTAATCGACGGGCTGCACCATGGCCAAAGATAAAGAACGTACCGTCAATCCTGCGCAGGCTCAACGCAAGCTTGATAAGCAAAAGGCACTCAAAAAGGGCAAGGCAGAAGCGCAGAACAGACGCAACGAAAAGCTAGCACGGCGAAATCCATACCGCATCCAACGACAAATAGATGACCTCAAAGCAGCTGAAGAAGCTGGGAAGCCTCTCAAACAGCAGCAAAAGGAGATACTCGAGGCTTTAGAAAGAGATTTACGAGCTGTTAACAAGGCGAGGGAAGCCCTTGGGGACAAGGCGCCGGTCTTTGGACGTGCAGATGGCGGGCCTCGTCGAGACGGGGACAGAGACAGAGACCAAGGTCACAATGTGCTAGGGAAGAGAAGAAGGGACGATCAACGCGAAGGCCGTCATTGGAGACAACATGAGAACAGTGGCAGCGAGACAGATGAGAGTGTCCGAAGGATACCGATGCCCAGGGATACGCCTCCCCCAATCCCACGTCAACACCACCAAAGACGGCGAGGGGGACCAAACAATACCGATGAAGGTGAAGGTGTAGCAGCTGGTGGTGAGAGGAGTGTGCACCAACTGCCGGCGAAACCTCCAGTCCCAGAAGCAAAGGCCGTTTACGAATCTGCACCAGTCCTCAGGAATCTGCAACAAGAAGCTATCAACAAGTTTGTGCCGACAACAGTAAGAATGAAACAGGCTGCTGTTAAGGGTGATGGCCAGCTCGTTGAACCCGAAGAGATGGATAAGTTGGAGAAGGCCGGATATGTGGTTGGTGGCAGTAGCCACAACGCTGGCCAGTCGACAGAAACTACGAACGCAAAGGCGGCAGCATCCTCTCTTGAAGAAGAGGAGGAACGGTTCAATCGTGAACTCAGATCAGTCCAAATCGAAGAAGTCGAGGATGAGGGCAATTGAGCGGCTCTTGGTTTTTTTATCTGAATAAGACGACAGATCCCAACACACCAAGCTGAATCACATCCTGGCGAACATCCACTCAGGAATACATATGTAAGCCCAGCTATCCCTCAGACAATTCCACATTATTAAAGCAAACTAACATTGCCAATTTGAAAGTCCAACTGAGAAACCTATCAATCACGCAAAAAGCAGCCCCCAGGCTGCAACACCTGCCCAGCCAGCGTGCAGCCCCAGGATCCCCCAAACATTAGCCAGCTCATACTCAGCGCCGCCGGAGAAGAAGGAGCTCCAGCTGATGAGTCCTAGAGTAGCTATATGATACAACAAGAAACACGACCCGACAACGCGTCCAACGTGCGTTTTACGGATATGATAGCCCCGCAGAAACCATGCATTCAGCGCAAAGGGAAGAACGAGGTTACCGCTGTTTCGGCAGAAGTATCGTGCCATTGCGCTTTCAAGGAAAGGCACGCGGTTGGGGAAAAGGATCGTGGAGCCGGTGTAGAAGATATATGTATCTGCAGCATGGAGGAGGACAGCAGAGGCGTATAGGTATTTGATTATACTTGGCTGGGTGAGCCCGACAGATGCTGAAGTCGAGGCCTGGTACGAAGTAGTGGTTAGTTTGAAGTGTCGTATCTGAGAATTTTGCGATATTCGTACCATGATGTATCGATGTATCAGCTTATCACTGCAGTAAGTATTGATGATGCAAAGCGCAAGTCTGTATCTTGTCTCTCTTAAGTTGTTCTTTATACGATAAGAGTCGTTGCCGCCGAAATGCGAGAAAGAAACGTGTTACGGATGAGCCTCGGCTTAAATCCCGTTCAAATGATAACGACAACCAAATATGAACAAAAAATTTAAACAAACAATATAAAATGAATATACTGTTCTATTGCCAGCGAGAGTTACTCAATTCAGAATAAACAAGCATAGAAACCGGGAAGCTTATACAAAGCCTCCCACTAATCCAAGAAAACGCCATGCAGATGCTACTCCAACCCAAGACCGAAATATAGGATATCAACAAGGAAAAAACAAAGGAAATGTAGTAGGCAAAGAATGACCCAATACGACATATGGCCGACAATGATATCAATAAATGAAAAAGGGAAAGAAAAAGGAGGGTGCGGAGGGGAGTCTCCGGTGATATTATATCGTTTATGCCGAGGACGATATCTCAAATCCGAACCAAAGGAAAAGAAAAGCAAAAGGGTATTATCGCCTTGCATTGGTTTGGCCCCCATGATCAAACCGGCCCGTCCGAGTCTCCTATAATGTGTCTATTTCTGACATGAAAGAAAACATGCATTCGTTTAGCTCATGTTACTATTTATTTTTTTTATTTATTTTTTTTTTTCAGTTTGGTTTTCCTCTTTCATGCCGGAGACTCATCGGAAGTTGCGGATAGCCTTTTTGTTTCTGACCAAAAAGGGGCTGGGCATTTCGTCTCTCTCTGGGTCCCAGGTTGCCGGAGGGTCAAGCTGGGCAACAGTGGTGGCCGCGGCTACAGGCGCGGATGCAGCAGTAGCTGGGATCTTGCTATCCCCTGGGCGCCTGAGCTCTTCGAGAGAGCGGCCACCAGCACGGGCTTGGGCTAGTTCAACAAGTGATCTGCCGCCCATGTTGCGTTGCATTATAGCCTTGAACATCTCCTCTCCGCCGGGGTTGACACCCGGTTTTGCGGGCGGGGGCATCATGGCCGTCTTTCGCGAGGGGGACCCTTCAAGGGCAAGGTTGTTGTAAGATGGAATCTTAGAAATGCGGCGCTGAGGTGACTTGTTCCTATTATCCGCAGAAGAATGGCGTCCATCAGTAGATTGCGGTGCAGCTGAGTTGGAGGTTTGAACAGGTCGACCTGCCGCTGTCTTGCTAACAGGGAAGAGGTCCGGTTGTGTGTTGACTTTCTGCATCATGGCAGTGGTGTTTTGGCGCATCAGAGGGCGATGTGCTAGCTTGCTTGGATCTGCCTGGATTTTTGCCCGGGTTGGTGACTGAAGTTCAGGGATATCATCCTCATCATCAGAATACATAGTAAGGGCATCATCCCATCTAGGTTTTGTACGTCCACCATCTGCGAAAAGATTCTTCGCTGATGTCCCTGCGGTCCGGCGCGGGGATAACGACAAGGAGGCAATGCAAACCGGCGATGGCTCTGCCATCTGGACATCCATTGGGGATTCAACCGTAGTTTTAGAGCGGCTGAATGGAGTACGGTTGCCTTTTTTCCCTGCATGCTTCTGTTCAGGGGTAGGCGGATCAAGAGACAGCTCGCTTAAATCAGTGGACGAGGGGAAATCAGTATCGTCGCTCGATCCCATGGAGGAATGATGAGCTGGTTCAAGCTGTGAGTGGTCCACATTATACTTCTGTGCCATTTCCTCTTTGTACTTTTGCATTTCAGAAGACACCCGCTGCTCAACCTCTACTTCAAAGGTCCTACGGAGCTTCTCAAGTTCCATCTGCACCTGGCGGTCGATCTCGAGACGTGCCTTGACCTCCCATTCTCGGCGGACGGTGCTTTCAATAGCCGCTTTCATGGTAGCCTTCTCCTTCTCCAGCTTCGCGTAACGTAATTCCAGATCTTTGAGCTTCTGTGCGGCAGCCTCCTCTTTGCTGGTGAGAGATTTGCTAATCTCAACAACCTCTTGTTCCTTTCGCATAAGGCGTATCACTGGCAACTTGAGCAAAGCTGCTGTATCTGGGCGGTGGTCGGGGTTGACCCTCAGACAGCTGGCAATGACGCTTCGCAGCTCACTAGAATAAACGTCCGGCAGCGGCGCAAATTTGCCATCGCGGATTTTCTGAACCAGCTGGACATGCGTACGAGCATTGAATGGTGGTTCTTTCTTGCAAAGTTCGTACATAATGCAGCCAACGGACCAGATGTCGGAGTACAAGGTGTATCTCTCGCCTGCGGAGATTTCAGGAGACATGTAAAACGGCGTTCCCACGTATGTCGAGGCAAAGTCATGAGAGCCCAATTGTTTGGACAAACCAAAGTCACCTAGCTTGACAGACTTATCATCTCCCAAGAAAACTAGACATAGGTTAGCAAACATGCTCTACGGGTGGGATCGGTCAGTTGTATGAATATTCCATTAATGACGTACTGTTTTCTGGTTTAAGATCCCGGTGGAGGATCATAATTTGAGCCTGCTTCCCTTTGAGTCCTGACGACTTTGGTGTTGGCCCCAAAACGTTGGATCCAGCTTCAGGGGGGTCAACTCCATAATGGCAACGGTACAGAGCAGTTGCCAGCTGGGAGAAAACACGCCAGACGTATTCCTCCTCAGCAAATGTACCTGCGAGCTTATGGTTCTTAATCACACGGCCGAGATCTCCTCCCCCACAGTATTCCATGTATAGGTATAGATCCTGGGTCGCCTTGAGGTGCTCGCGGTGGTAGTATGCTACGATATTGGGGTGTCGGAGGGAGCTCAGGACGTTGAACTCAGTGGTGAGTTGCTCACGCTCCTTATGAGACATTTTGAGATAGTTAATCTCCTTTCGGCAGAGGATCTATTGAAAACGTTAGCGCAAGCAAAGTCTCCCTGTCCGCCGGCATGAGAGTGACGTACAAATCCATCTGCCTTTCTTCTGACCTTCCGAATCACACCGAAAGACCCGCTTCCTATAGACAGTATATTAGTTTAGACAGCCATAATATTTTGCATCATCAAGGCCTTTTCCTACCTATTCTCTCCAGGAGCTCATATTTGTCTGCTTCTGCCAAAGCGATAGCCATGGTGCACCCCAAGATATAGATAGATGTATGGACAAGGAGACGAGGTGTATCAACACATAGAGTAAAATATAAACGAAAGAACAACCTGTTTATGTTAGTAACGGCGTCTGGAGCCTCGAGGAATGGCGGCCTGCAAGCTGGACAGTTGGTGTGGGAGAAGAAGAAGTTATCTTCTTCCTCTTTGCAGCTTTTCAAATGTTTTGGCTGCGTTCTCGTTGCGCAGCAACCAAAGTGAAAATGCTTAGTAAGTGCTTAGTCAGTTATCAATAACAAGGTTGGTCACGGGAAAAAAGCGCTAGTACTTAAGGAGGACTAGCGGGATACGGATAAGGCGGTATGGGTATGTACCTGCTATGATTAGTGGATCGGAGATACCTTAGAGCCGCCCGTTATCGATAAGCTTTCTGCCACTTTCGACCTTCAGCTTTGTTTTGCAGCTTTCAACACGAAGATTGAAGCAGCTTTCGCGACAAGACCTTGTCCATAGCAGAAGCCAAAACAGCGGCAGGCAGGCGGTTCTCTCTCTTTCTTATTCTGTTTTTGAAGCGTGGGACGATGATTGAGCAACCTGAGCCACAGGTGCTGCGGAAGGACCAGTTGGAAACTAGCCTGTTCAACGAGCGACAGTTGATCGGTGCTGGAGAGCTCAAGGAGGACAACCCGTTGGACCTAAGTAAACCGTTTCGGGAGCTATGTGAGGCGTGTCGAAGAGGCGATCTTAAGGCCTGCCAGGAGAAGATAACTGAGGGGGTGAACATTAATGGCAGAGATTTATTTGACTGCACTCCCCTAATACTTGTGAGTGAAGCTCCTCCCTTCTTCCTTCATCCCTTCCAACCTGCCGGGAGCCCTCGATAAGCGGCAACATATCCTCCTTGTCAATGCTTTGAGCCAAATTGGAAATTGGAATAAGTTCCTTCACATTTGCTTCCTGGGCTCGCTCAAAGATGATTTGCTTTTATAATGAGAACTGAAAAAGTGACAATTACTCCTGTTTCTTTCTTCCTTGGGAAAGGCTAGTCTTTGTGGTCACTACGAAGTCGTACAACTTCTCCTTGATTCTGGTGCTTTATGCGAACGAGACACTTTTCAAGGCGAAAGGTGTGCTTATTCCCTTATTTCATTATATGCTATTTTCACCTTCTGGAGAAATATGAAAGGTGCAACCGTTATACTTACGGCTCTTTGTCTGTCGCCGGCAGGTGTCTCTATAACGCATTAAACTCGAAGATACGAAACCTCCTCCTTGAATACGACTATTCAAAATCAACGGATCCTCTCCAGCCTTTCGCATCTCACATAACGTCGTTGCTAACTAGAGACCATCCTCAAACATCGGACATCGCCGTTACAGCAGGCCATGAGACTTTCCACCTGCACAAGTTCATATTATCTGCACGATCGCCATATTTTCATAGGAAGCTTTCTATAGCTCCAGAAGCGGCTTCATGTAAATTGCCAAACACAATACCACCTCCGGCATTCAGTGCAGGGATAAGATACTTATACTTGGGCGATGTTCCGCGAGATCTTAGATCCGGACCAGGTGCCGGCGGCTACTCAGAGACAGAGGTGTTTGAAGGAATAGATAAGATTGCCAACCATTTAGAACTCCGCGGCCTAGTTGATACCATTCTGGACAGTGGTGACAGGAGACTGACCAGGCAGAGAAGATCAGACGAGGTCAGCAAGGGTCGAAAGCAGATGGAATCATGGTTTCAAGACAATATCGTCAAGCACAAAGTGGTGATTAACACCGATAGAGCAAATGAGGTGAAATGGCCGCGTGATAACAGCATCTTCGCCGATGTCCTCCTTCGAGCTGATGAAGATGTCACTGAAGATGAAGATTCAGAAGAAATCGAAAAGGGCGAAAATGGAAGTCCTGAAGATGGCAACGGCGGTATACCCATTGGGGGCTTCTCCCAACTATCTTTGGATGTCCCGGCGAAGAAGTCTAAAAGGAAATCGGTACTTTTCCCTGCTCATCGAGCAATGCTTCTACGTTCGGAGTTTTTCTCGGCTATGTTTTCATCCAGCTTTCGTGAGGCTCAGGTTACAAACTATTTGCAAATAATACCAATCGACTGTTCACCAGAGGTATTAGAGATAGTCCTCACTTTCTTATACACCGAAAAGGCAGACTTTCCTCTTGAAATTGCAGTTGATGTCCTATTCGCTGCGGATCTACTGTTGATCGAACGGCTGAAAACAAAGGCAGCCGTCCTTATTAGCACACTTGGAAGCGGAAACATTACATCTTTAGGATCAAAGCCGTCGGCAGACACCAAAAAATCAAGTCCAACGAAGGATGGGAAAGAAGCAGGAGAAAGCGATGATATAATCGACGTCTATGAAATTCTCCGTGCAGGCTGGTTGATGCGCATCCAGCGTCTCGAAGAGTTCGCTGCCCGATACTTTGCTTACAGGCTAGAAGCGCATATCGACAAGCCTGAGTTTGCACAGTTGGTCATGGAGTCAGCCGAGCGTATCCAAAAACGGCAAGAAACTGATTCCATCGAGCTGGTGGATGATATACGCTATTATCTTTCCGAACGATTTAGACTACGTTTCGAGGATTCCGGTATAGATATGTTGAATTCCGAGGATAATCCAAATGAGGGCAATTCAGCGGAAAATGCCAACACGCCTTCAAACTCCTCCCCCGAAACAAATAGCAACGGAAATCCGATATCACCTACCCCTTTGTCACCACCGCCTGCATCGTATATCAAAAACCCTAGTGATAAAGACTTTGCCAGGGAGCAGCCAGCGGAATCAAAGAAAAACCTCAGCTCAGGGTCTTCTAATAATATAAATGGAAGGAACGAGCAAAACAATACCGGTGGCGTCATTCGGACCCTGGATGGACAGGAGGCTGGAGATGAATTTTCGAGAGATGCTATTGATTATGAGCTTCTCCTAAACAAATTGGATCAGCTACTTGAGAGACTGGGCTTGGATGGCTAAACATCCTCTGATCTCGTCTAGATATACCTGCTTTCTATCAAGCCCGCTCATAATGCATATATACATCTAAATGCTGGATACAGCCTTCTGTGAATAAGAATTACATATACAAAATGGACCCAAATACTATCTCACAGTAACTATTGCCTGCTATTCAATTAATGCTGCATTTGATAGGAGCCCAAAAAATACTATGGTGTATTCTATGAGTGGGAAGCCAATTAATGATAATTACACAGACATGAATGATCTAGTCCTATTCTGGCCAAATAGAGAATCTAAAAGTTAAGAATAAGATGTGCCCTCTGCTCCTCTATCCTCTAGGGGGGTTATAAACTCTGTAAGAGGTTCCAGGTCAGACCTCGCAGTTTCAAAGGTATCGGTGAGGCACAAGCTATTATCTTGACTATATTCTTTTCTACTTGTTGATTTAGAATGCACTGTTTCCAAGGAGGAAACTTTGCAAAGTCCATCTCGGCGCGATTCAGAGATAGTGCTGCGTTGTCCAAGGGAGTCTGTTCTTTGAAGACATACACGGCCCGAATCCGTGGTAGTAAATGGATCAGAAGAGTCAGCCTCTGTGATAGTGGGAGACGTAAACGGATCCAGAGGAAGCGTAGGTGCATATATTGGGTGAGAGACTCGTAGGGATGATGTGGGTGTAGAGGGAATTTGGTGATAAGGCGTTGGGCTCTCATCTATAATTTTTGGGCATCTCCGAACAGAGTGCACTTTGAAACTTGCCTGTCTTCGGGTTGGTGACACTAGGTCGGGAGTGCAATAGAATGCCTCAGTGTGATAGCCTGCTCCTCTATTGATATGCTCCAAGTATCTCATCTGTATTGGGTGAGAGGCAAATTGGTCGGCTGAGATTTTTCGGCGTCTGGTGAGGGAGATACAACTAGTTACGATACTGCTCAGCATCGAAACCACCAGGAAGACAACAAGGAGGCCCTGAATGATGGCTATCGCTATCCCAAAAGCAAAAGCGGCCATCCTATTCAGATTATGTTGGGTTAATAAAGGTATGGACAACAGGGCTGATGAGATGTTGCTGAATGATAGTGTGTATAGCACAATGCTCAACCGTTTAGCTTCAAAAGGGTCCATGACTATAATGCAAATCATGAACATAATTTCAAGGATTAACAATCCAACGGTCTGAGAGATGGGGTTTGCGACTGCTCCCCCCAGGAAGCATGCGCGAAGAAACTCGTGTACCAACCATACCGCACAAAAGTGCCATCTATCGTCTTTGAAACGGGCTAGCAGCCAGCCAAATCGTAAGAGAAACTTTGATTCATTTGAAGCAGGATCATGGGTGCAAGATTTCCACCACGGATAGATTTTTATGTCCGTTGTGGGGGACTCTTTCGATGCCACGCCGCCCTTTCTTGTAAGTATGAACCAGGGGACGACGTTTAACAGCTTCCTCCTTTCAAAAACAAGGGGCCTTCGCTCTAGTATAGGCGTAAAATGAGTATTGCGGTAAGATATAGCATATCCCATAATTGAAACAGATCCAACAAGGAATATAAGGAATGTGATTGCTGCCAATGCTTTGACAGAAGAAGCGCCCCCAAAGCCAAATTGGAACAGGGCCAGGAACATGAGCATCCCAAACCCAATAAATAAAGACCGCAGTAGCATAGCCAGAACAAACTCAGGCCAGTGTATTCGAAAGTATGCCAAGTTTTGCGCGTGTCTCCCCTTAATGACTTTCCAACTGATGAGCAATTCAATCATGAGTTTGACTAAAGGTATCACAACGGTTAGGGCGAGCAATAGAACCAGGAACCAAAGCACTCCAGTAGTGAAAGCATTCACAACTGAGATTTTCTGCATGGCGAGAGTCCCTGCAAAGCCAGAATAATTCCCTGGTATCGGAAACCCATCATTGACAAGCTGGCCTTGCCACTGGAAAGCCGACGACGAGGATGTCGAGCTGGTAGAAACACGATAATCCAGTTCCTCCATGGAGAACTTTGGCCCCGTATTAAACAGACCAGCATTCCTGTCAGATAGCGATGTGTTGTATATACTTGTGATATTATACCCCCCGAGGTTGGAGGAAACGCTACCAACAGGGTTTGCTCCAAGAATACGGATATCTCCTTTATCCCCTCCAACAAGTCTATCTATTGAGCCTTGCATTGACCTGGAGTAAATCATCCCGGCGAAGGGCGCGAAATTTGACCAAAACTCCACCAACACTCGAGGCCAATTAGCAGAAATGGCTCCAGTGAAATAAATGTGGTGGAGAACCGTAAAAGCAAGGAGTAAAGACGAGGAGTGGGAATAGTGGAGTTGCATAGTTGCAACGTCTTCGCCATAGATGATTGTTGCAAGACTGAGAATGAATGTGATGGCTATCAACAGGACCAGCAGTGACCCCACTGCTTGCGGATGCGACATTGTAACACCATTTGTCAACGTTGAAGCATAACATGCTATTTGAGACCTTGTGGAGTTAGAGAAAATCCGTATTACTGCCCTGCCCTCAAAGTCGGGTAACCGTAAGGCCGCTGGTGATATTTCCGAGATGTCGGTAGGCGTCACTGGCAACAGGCCGCCATCCCCAATTTGGCGAGACGCATCCATGGGACAGAGACTATGCACCCCCACCCGCGATAAGCAAATGTATCATGGACTCAGAACCAGTTTATAGTCATGTACTTACTTCTGAAGATTTGCTTCACAGGGATCGAATGTTAAATCGAATCTTCTCTTCCCGTACGCGAAAAAACCAATGTACACTATGGAAGTTAAACACCGTAATCCAGGTACTTAAGGGCTCAGTTAAACAATAAGAACATATCGTACCCATTATAGATTCACTATTAAGAGACGTATGACCGTTGAGATGGAAGGCCATCATCAGGTCATCATGGTAGTAAGCAGCACGAAACTGAGTGAGTTTGACCATTGAATTCGCCATACAATCTCCAAAATCTTCTGTGTAGAGTGGTGGCACTTTTTTTCTGGAGAGATGCGCGTTTCTAAGCCTTGACCACCGGTTCTGCCGTTCATCATTGTCAATGGCCTGCGAAGCAACCGGATAGCATGAAAGAAGTAAAGATAACAGAGTAATGGTATTCCACGACATGCATAACAGAAACATCTTCGTGATTGAGGGTGTATTTTGGCCGGCCGCAAAGAGGAGGAAGTCGGGCGAGAAAGGGATCAAGGCCTCGACGATAGGAGTTTCACGGTAATAGAGTATGATGCAGATACTTCAACAATAGTTCATGATCCACTACATGGGTAGGCTTTCTGATCTCTCTGGTAAGATGTCACACAGCGATCCAGGGCCATCAAGACGAGAAGTATGGATATCAAAGATTGAAATTGTAAACAAGCCATCTCTCCTTCCTCGGTTGAATACGAGGCAGGTAGGATAGACTTCATCGAGGTTTCACGGTTTCATAACCAGCTCCAAGTCAAAGTAAAGAGCAGAGCTAAAGAGCTGCATAGTTAAAGAGGATGTTTTCCATGTGAGCCCGGTAGGTATTAATTACCATGGTTCCCAGCCCCTATTTGGCATATCACAAACAGCAGAGGTCATAGAGCCTTGCACCACGGTTTGGCCAACACATAGTTATGAATTTTTCAGCGTCAGCATTCCTCACGTAGATATGGAATGATGTTCTTCAAATACACTAATCCATGGCATTTTACTGTATGACTTGAACGTTTCAACAAGCAAGAATATCGTTGGATTTATAACCAACTTCCTTGGTAATTCGTGACGAGTTTTCTGCATTATTATTGGCTTTCAACGAGTTAACTAGGTAGTGCTTATCCAGGTAACTAGTAGTTAACTAAACTTTAATGAGGCTAGTTAACCAATAACTACTTAGGTTTTAAAAATTAACTAATCAATAACAAACTCCCATTTAATTGGTTATTTTTACACTTTAGCTTGAATATCAAGTTTGCATCCAACAAACCCTTGACAAACTCTTCCAAAGAGATTTTGGGAATAGGAGGATGGGAAGCCTAGCTTCCTACACTTGCTTAATTCTAACACTGTAGGTAAGCGGTAAAGACCAACTTACCTTGTTCGTCAAATAAGTCGAGAAGTGCGGACTTTATCGGATCATTTCTAATGGCGGGAGCCTAGGTACCCGATATCCTGAGCCAGAGCGAAAGGACAAGATATTGGTTGTTAACCCGATCAATGGGGTCTAACAGAGCTTCTCTTTCATAACCAAATCAGATACTAATGCTGCACCCAGTCCTTGACTGGCACTCACCATCCCACCGATAGCACACGCTAGGATGGCGTCAAAAATAGAGGCAATCATACTAAATGTGATACCCAGGTAATCATTATTCTTCAATTGCCTCTTCAGCAGCCATACGGCGATTTTGTTGTACTACACCCAGTTATTTTATCCTTGGGGCACTGCCATAGTGTGCACTTGTGAGTTATTGTTATTATTTTTATTATTTTGGTTAACCGTCCAGCTACTAGCCAAACATCTCGTCTGCTTCTGGGCCTTACACGCAACGAATTAGGATACATTAAACTGGCACGGTTATTGATTATTCGAGGTGACGTGTCCATGATCAGATGAGAGAAGAGTGAAGGGATAGAAACGAATACGTGGAAAATAGAAAGAAAGAAGTCAAGCAAAGGAAAGGCAAACACATGGAAAACTGGGCGGCTTTCCTTAGGATTGAGGATTCTTAGCCCATTGAGAATACCACTCACGAATCAGACAATCAGCATAAGTCCAGGTATCTGGCCTGTTTATATGATCGTATTTCGTGGGTTGGGTCGTTTCAAGCCCTGGCCACTCATCTAGGTGAATGAAATCTGCATTCAAAGCACGGGTAGCCCGATCGGAACGACTTCTAGGCTGAATCTTATACAGCTCGGCTGCCGCTATCATATGCAACCTCTTTTTCACAAACGACTCCCAATGACTGCTGGTAAGTAAGTAAGTGTGACGCAACGCGCATGAACTTAGAAATTTCGTAGGCGTTGGGCAGAGGAAGATATCGTTATATACGCTTTTTTGAAGCTGAAATTGGCTATACTCAATCACTTGATCCGGTTTTCTTGGACTGCAGAGATCGTGTCTAGCCAACCGCACTATCAAAGAGTTCCCACCGATTGTCCGGGTTTGAAGCAGGTAGTCTTCGACCTCTTCGATATTTGCCCATAGCATATTTCCAGAGGGCCAACCCAGAAACTCGTACTCCTCAAGAAGCTTGCCGAAGTTTTCATCCATATCCTTGAGGAGGTATGACTTCCCACGGGCGAGGGTTAGCCGTGGGAAAAGACAGTATGCCTTATTCCAGGTAATGATATTAAGGCATGCCGTAGTATACGACTCGTGAAGTAGAGCTTCAATAGGCATGTGTGTTGTGCCTATAATCCTCACTGTCCTCTCGCTACCATGTCGATAAAATGATTCAACCTAGAGGCGCGAACATAGGAAGTTAGCAAAATGTTTAGAGACCTTTCGTTCAAACACTGCCATCAAGGCAGGGAGATACTTACATCTTGGGCATATGGAGTAGTTTGGTGCCGTGATGGAGTACGCTTGTAGCCTTCATTGGACAAGAGATATTGTGAGAACTCGGTATAGTCGTCCTCGGCCCGTATATACACGTCCATCTCCAATGCATTCTGCGATCCATTAAGGAAGAAGTCAAGAGCAAAATGTCCCGAAACAAAGGCATCACACTTTCCCAGCTGTAATCGAAATCCCTTGGGATCATTGACGAAAGCCTTAAGGCGCTGGTCGACTCTCTCTTCCAAGATACGAGCAACTCTATGGAACGCTTTACTCGTCTTTTTGAGAGCTAGAAGATCTCTTATTCCAAGATGGGAACAGACCTCGTCTAAAAGCTCAAAGGGAAGTGGTCATCTGTGTTACACAGCACTCCACATGAGATATCGACATTCAGTAGCTCGTTCGATTCTTGTCCGGGCTTTTCAATAACTAGTGAGGTGCCTATTCCAAGAGTATCTCTATCGACGGCGACTCAGATAATACGAGAAATGGGAAGTCACAATCACAACAGCTAGCGCTAGTCTAGCAGTAGACTGTGGGTATTGGACAAAGGTATGCCTATGGACTCTGTATCCCCCTCAAAATCGAACCCTCTGAGTTTCTCTTGGAAAATCGTGTGTCGGACACTAGAAATGGCACCCCCCAACTTTCACCCAGGTCTCGCAAGCAGGTGTAACGGCTAGTTAATCGTTAAAAACGAGTGGTATATGAGATATATGATCACGGAGTACGAAGTACTATCTTAGAACATTCACTCCTGGAATAGTTATATATAAGTGCTTGGAAAGGGGACCAGGCTAAGAAAAAATTTTGCCTAGTTAAATAGTTATTTAGTAGTTAGTTAGCCGCCTGGTAAGTCAACTAGCTAGCCCAGATACGTACCTGGCGGCTATTTACTTACTAGACAGGTACTTCAGCCAACTAGGAGCCCTCGGCTTATACATATATTTATTTGATATCTCAGCAGCGACATTAAACAAAAGCTCTGGGCACTCGACTACGTCCTTTGAAGTACTCCGTTTATATCAAAAGTGTCAAAAGTCGTGGGGTCAGCATTGCCAGATGCCCAAGTGTACGTGACCATCCCAAGTCGGGTGGAGAGACTTTAACTAAACCTTTACTGAGTAGTAATGCCTTTTACGGTATCTAGGCAAGGTTTGTTATTTGATAGCTTCGCCAGTAGCCATCGCACGGTGTGGTCAATAGAATGATAAGGACCATTGGCAGGCGCAGAGTCGTGTGAATCGCATCAACCTCACACAAACCACCAAGATGTTCGCATCACTTCACCATGATTACATGTGCTCCTGTGAAATATCTAGCTGGGTGCCTCTCCAGTCCGATGGTCAGAGTCGCTGTCCTCTAGCCCGAATTCCCCATCTAACAGGCTGCGCGCTAAACTAATATCCATACCATTATATCTTGGTTCAGAATTTGACAGCCTTCTAACGTCGAGTGTGGATATATCTCGTTATAACGTGTCCCGTGATCATTTCCATGCCTCATACATCTCAGGAATCAGATGGCCACCATAATCCCAGATATCTGGTTGTTCCAGGTGTCAGCATTCTCTGGTGGTAGGGGGCATCCTACCAGATGCCGTTGACCATTGCTGTAAGCGCATTAAGTCCAACAATTGCTCCGGGTGAGCGCTCATGTGGCACAATCTTACACAGCTCTGCTAACTCTATTGCATGCAACCGCATATGTGCAGCTATGTGCCACGATATATAGTAAGTATATACTTATAGAGAAGCACCGAGGGCCCCAGCAAATACGTAGGCCGTGTGTACGCATCGTATTCTGCTCAGGCCCCTCGATTAGAGATTTGATACTGAGAATATTCAGTCACTTAATCAGGAATTTTCGGTTTTCCAAAAATTCCTTCACTAAGTTTAACAACAAGAGACCTGCCGCCTATCATGCGAACCATACTCATCTCCTTATTTCACGGTATGGTGTATGATGGGGCACCTGCCCAGACAGACTGATATATCATCAGTGACTAAGACCTCCTTTCCAGGATACATGCAACCCTAGCAATATATCTGCATGTTGACTTGGGAGCAGAGAGGTCTCGCACGCCGATATAGGAGCAAAACTTTCCTAAAATCCGAATGGCAACGAAGAATCTCACGGTGAAATACTCATCTTCCCGGAAAGGGAGGATGAAGAATGAGCGTGGCCCGTCATCTTGATTCAACTTCCGCCTCCCAGTTCAACTATAAGAAAAAGAAGGATGGGATTCAAATGCCATCTAAAAGGAACGGCTAGAATATTCAAATGCATATATCTTCTAAGAACAGTTTGTAGCAGAGCACAAGCAAGGAGACAATGAAGGGGACAAAGCTTTTTGGGTAATGAGAGAGGCTGGTTTTTGGTTGATATCCGTTGCTATGGTAATCCTCGCTTGCACGAGTCCAATGTCGGGAACAGCCAAAGCTGCTTATAACTGCATAGCTACCCTTCTTTGACTCGCGATTTAGCTTGCCTTGCTAGCTATATCAAATGAGTTTTGGTATACGTTGAAAATATTAAAAACGCGAAGTTCAAGTAGTTAATGAAGGGCTGGACAGTGTCCACGTGACCAGAACAACAGAGGAAAATCGATGAGAACTTCAGAACATCAAAGACATGCAGGAAACACACAAGTACACGCCTTGTCAAGGTCGTTCTTCTTCAGACTTGGAGAGCACAGTGGGCGAATATCTTCATATGGAGAAAAATAATACCTTTTAGTTGGCTCGATTCAGCGCCGGATAACTAGCTACTATGATATCATAATACTCAACGCCGCGGCCAAACATGGATGGAGATACCTGCTTAAAACAACATCTTCAAATAAGACCAAGATCCTAGTTTCAGAGGGCTTTAATGACACTAAGCCTTGTGGCAGCACATCAGGGTCCCTTGTCCACGTGTCAAAACCCCAATGATGACATTTCCATGCGGAGAAAGAGTGATGACAGCATGAGAGGGGGAAGTGACATTCCTGCAAGTGTATGAGCCGGGTACGCGAAGGGGCAGGATGGCATATAAGATGGGACGGGGTGATATTGAAATGAAATGAGATGCAACTTGAATTTTGCATGATTGGGGATGACCGCATGTGAAGATCACCACTCGTTAAGGGAGATTTCATGATCGCGTCATCGCAAAGTAAGGACATGGTTGTCAGGGCATCCTGGAAAGAGAGAGCTTGAGTCTTCCCAGTAGGAGGCCGGCGACTTGGCCAATTGACGACAAAAACGCCATCGGGGTCGGAAGCAGCCTCCATTCCACACAGCACCCTCACATCAAACAAGGATAAAATAAGAAACAACAGAAAGGTTTCGAATGAGACGGTTGTGTACAGTCGAGAGAAAACAATCAGCCTTGGGCTGGTGATGCCTTCCTATCCTTTACAGGCATTAACAAATCCTGAATTCAGTAGCTATAGCTAACTACCCAATCGCAGAGGACACAAAAGGAAAGAGGAGAAAAGCAATTGTTCAATATCCTCCTCTGGAAAGAGGAAGGGGGGAAAGATACGGAATATACGACGTCAGGTGTTACAGAAGAAATAAAGCCACAGAATCAACCAGGGGTCAGGATATTTTGGTAAAGGACAATATATCGTGATTAGAGCAAGGGCTATTTTAAGAATTAATAAGGGTAAGCAGACCAGTTCCAGAGGAAAAATAAGAAATGGTTCTTCCCTGTCTGGTCCACGTTGAGCTGACAGATCGACACTGGGTGAAGGGGAAAATGTGAAACGCCCTTACAAAAATAATGCCCTGCTGCTCTGCACACTCACACAAACACAATGTATCTGAGAAGAAGCGATTGAGACCGAACGATGGGCGGAAAGTCCGAATTCATCACCACTTCTGCCCTTTCAAGGCAGTGTCAACATTGCAAGGGCTTGACGTCAGACAAGTCACAGTTGCTAGCATCAACTTCACCACATGGGGAGAAGCCAAGCGACGGGAAGGAGATGAACGAGCAGGCCAGCAAATCAGGGCGATGACAAGCTGTGAAATCTTATGCCACGTCTACATCGGAAGGAAAGAAAGTCTCTTGTGCTGCAGACGACAATATCGATCTGCATCTGAAGCCTGAAGAATTATCTATCCCAGGCAGTCGATTGGATAACGACAAGCTAGGCGGAAGTTGAAGGAGGGCAGAAGAAGGTCATGCAGCATTTGGAGTCTAAGCTACTGATGGCCTTAAGTTACGGAGGTCCATGTGCTGAAAAAAAAAAAAGAATCGATGAACAAGGGTGAATTACTCCAGCCGCGAAGAAGCAAAACAGCGCATTTATGGAGTGATGAGAAAGGAAAGCGCCCGATAAGGAAATGAGTGGTCTATCATCGGCAGTTCCGTGCTGACTGAGAACTGTATTCTTACTGATATATATACTGGCAACGTATATATGGAGACCTGATGGAGGAAACGCTCCAAGATGTGTGCCGAGAGGCATACCTGCATATCTTGATCCCCACCGGTGTAATGGTTACAGGTAGGAAACTAGTTGGGCCGGCCCGTGTATTTTCATCTGATCTCCGCATACCCGAAGATGAGGAATTAACCAAACTTATATAAGAAGGGAAATTAGAAAGAGCCATGCCCTTGGCTGGAGGCCCGAGCAGGGGGGGAAAGCGCATCAATAAAACGCGGAATTGACATAGAAGGGCGTGAGAGGAGGGGCGTTGAAGTCCGAGACGAAGAGCATCCGTAACACGGCATGTGAAATGGCAACTTCACTTCGTTCATCATTGTCGTCATCACCATTAAAAACTGATGAAAAGTCCGAATAATGAAAGGGTAATGCCGGTATTCATCACTCTTTTATACGCCGTACTTGGGGAGGGTCTCCCAAACTGTTTCCAAGATGGAACGAGGTCTTTCAGAAGGCTACTGGAATGGCTATTATATAAGGGTTATATATAAATATAGCTCTGAGGAGAGTTTGACGGAATGACGGCTCTTCAGCACCGGCCTTATCTCGCCAATGGCCATTTAGAGTGAAATTAAGATATCAGCTAACTAAGTATAGATCTCTGATAGTTTCGACAGAGGAAGATGAAAGACCAATGAGAGGCGAAAGTCGTATATGAAAAGGCCGCCCTCACATCCAAACACACTTTCTCCCTTCCACCCCCGGAGGCGATCCTATAACAGGCATCTCCCATCATGATTACCCCAGGCAAAGCATAAAATAAAACAGCCCCATCAAAGGCCGAGAAAATGAGAGGATGAACGAGACTGTTAGGCTGAAAAGGAAATCATGCCGGATTACCTCATTGGCCGAGGTAGTGTGGTATTTTCATGATTCCTATTCGTATTTTAATAGTTAATGAGCTCACTAGTTAACAGTTGCATGGCAGAGGCTGAAGAAGCGACAATCAGCATACATAAATCGAGACACATCTCGAGGAGTTCGCCACAATCTCTTCACCGAATATTCAGCATACAAACCTGGTCGAAACTGACCCCCTCGTATGGATTTGCACTTCGAACCAGACGCGGTGAAATTAATGGAGGCCCTAACGAGACCAGACGGATATACGGAGTGTGTTATCTCTACACTCGCCCTGTCTTCGGAATTCCGCCCACAGGTTGAAGGAAGTCCAAACGATCGAAACAGAAGATCTACTTCATACCCTGACATGCAAAAAAACTGGAGTCCGACAATATTGATTCCATCAACTAACGTCTCCAAGGTGCTCCATCCGGACTTGACAATGTCCAAGTCCGAATGAACCAAGATCTGACTGATGGATCTGGAAGTTACATACGTAAAAAAATCCGGATGTATCAAGAGACTGGATCAAGGTTGGAAATTGTAAAATTATCGGGAGCGCCAACTATCCCCTCCCGCAATCCGGAGAAAGGCAGCTAAGAAGTTGAACTTGCGAGACCGGAGTTGGCAGTTCGAAGTCGCCCTGGAAATTAACTTCGGTATTTGAAATAAGAAAGAAAGAAAAAAAAAACTAAACGAGAAGAGAGGCAGAGAAAAGGTCGTACAAGAGCATGCTTCACGGATACGGAGAAGATGTGAGTATACGGGGCATGGCTGAGCGTGGCATCAGCAGGGTGTGGCGTGGTGCAACTAGCAAGTGAACTGGACGAGGATGAAGAAAAGCATGGCAACCGCATGGCGCTGTCTCTTTGTCACTTGGATGCATGGCCATGTACGATGAAAGGAAGCGAGACCAACGCCCAAGCCTGATCAACCGGTACCGATCCTCCAGGAGGCTTGAATGTATTCTGTACAGAGTACGTACGGAGTGACTAACACAAACGGGAACAATCTAGTTAAATGATGAACAGTTTTCTCTATCAAACATGACCAGGGCATCTAACAGTTGGGTAAATCAGCCGGCACATCCATTCAACCCCCTTGGCCAGGCATACCCGTACCCTTGGACGGAGAAGGATTGATTTTCATGATGGAGGGAAGACCGCAACTAGGTTATAACATATGCATGCACCGGGCAGCCTATGAGACACCATCCTGCGCATCTCTTGACCCGTCAGTCTATCTATCTACTTATATTAGACCACGGAGTATACACATATCTGTCTACTCCGTTCCTTGACATGGGGCAGGCCAATCCACGTGAAAGACAGGGGATGGACAAGGTGAAAAAAAAAATAAGTCATCCACTTGAGAAACGAAGGAAATGGTTATCGTACATGAATATCGAAATCAATACAGAGCTAATGCAGAGATGTGATGCATGCAGGTGGGAAGTGCTTTTTCCTTTCCAACTTAAGGGATCCAACCAGGTCAAATTCCACGTGTGGACTGGGTGTGAAGTACTTCGACGGCGTGATGTCAGTCCTCCATCTCCATCTATACTTACTACTATACTTAAGAAGTACTTGGGATGAAGATGGTCAGGTCTTTCATCCTTCGGCCAATCTCCTGCATAACAAACATGCGACGAGGTTGCGGATGTGACAGCGGCGGCTCCGTGACTAGCATTCGCATGCAACACTCTGACACATGTTTATAACTTCGCAAGAGAGACAGACGCTGGAACGCCAGGGGAAAATATGTTGGATCCCTTAGTCACTAAAATACGTCGTCCTCGGTCGATCTGCTGGGCCCGGCGTTAACAGTGCTCTCTTTAAGTAACGGATGGACTTCTTTTTCTTCCTTTTTCCTCTTCTGTGCGCTTTCATCCCCAAGAAGACTAAATATGGACCGTACCGAGAGAACCTGATGATACGCCACTCCCATTCATATTTGCAATACGGAATAAGCAAAAATAGCTGCTTGTTAAGAGGTTTATCAAATCTGGTATTTTTCGTCGAAATACAAAAAGAACGAAAAAAACAAAAAAAAACAACCGAACAAACGGGGACTAAAATACGAGAAAATATGACACAGAAAGCGGATGATTGGCCTGCCCATGCCCTTTTTCCACGTGGAAATCAGCCTAAAGGGACAAACGAAGAAGAAAAGAAGGCAAAAAGAGACTTTTGGCTGGTCCAGTCTTCCCTTGCCCGTCCGCGCGGTTTACCTGACTGGCGGTACCTCTGGAAACTCAGCAGACGAGACGAAGAGTCAAGCGAGAGAGCTAGTGGAGGATGAGGATGAGTGTGAGGATGAGGCTACTATGTTATTAATAGGAAGAGGTCGGCTAAGGAGCATTCATCGACCGTCCATTAATACGATGTAGATGGTCACACTTGCTATCAGCTTGGAAGGTCGAGGCTCGAAATTGATAGCTCAGAGCTCAGGCAGCTTGTCTTTTCATGGAAGGTCGAGCAGACAGTGGGCTAGAAGGCTTGGGGGTTATCATGGTTCTTTCTATCGAACCCAAAGAAAGTCCAGAAGAAGATTGAACCAGAAGATGAGCTAGAAGACGCCTCCTCGCTCCATCCGTCCGTCTTGGAAGCGACCAGCACAGACCGACTACTGCGCAAAAGTCGAAAATGAGGACGCAAACGGCTAAGGCGGCGATGAACAGCGTAACCTGCCTAAGGGAGTTAGAGGACGGAGATCCAGCTGAGACGACCCTCAACCTGACGAATGCTCAGAATAAACTCATAGCAAGGCCGGACATTAAAAGTGGAATAATGAATGGGCCCTTGAAGGAAGGCCCAGAAGAGGCAAGAGAGTGGATGTGGATGCTGTTACGTTCTATCCAAGAGCCGGTGATCTTCGGACAGCCTCATCATCACCATAAGAATAAATTAACCAACTTCAACAAAACACTCGCACTCCGAACAACCCTCAGATAACCTGAAGAGTGATATATCTCTTGTCCATCACGCCATCGCCGAGAAGCAATTTCCACCATGTCAGCCACGTTTCGCCCGTTGGTGCGGATCAAAACAACTCTATTCTGCGGCAGGACGAGGACAAGAACTAGGGCGCATCAGACAAAGGTGTGTCATGTAGAGGTCTTCTTGGTTTGACATATACACACAATCTCACCTATCGAACCCACCGTCAATTCTCCCTACTACTCCGTACGGGTGTTTGCATGTATAAGATGCAAAGTACTCCGTACATGTCCGCAACGACTAAGCGGGCCAGCCGTGTGGAGAGAGAGCACCTGGTACGACTATTCACACGTGGAAATGACACGGACAGATGGGTTTTGCCCGTCCAGGCCGCTTTATCCGTCGATGATTTTCATCACTTATGGAGTAATTGCTCAGACGCTGTCCTGTTGAGAAAAAAAGGCCCATCGCCCAACCACCTGTGTCCACCTAGCTAACTGCATAGGGTGAACACGATATCCTTAGTCCGACCAACAGGCGGGTTCCCGATTGCTGGGAAAAGTAAAAGAGCGAGCGTGAGAATTTGTGGTAATTCGTAACGTGATGATCAGGCAGGAGAAAACAAACGCCGCGAGCGCCTGCCGGGGAAGCCGGTGGTGCTTGCCCCGATCGCCGTGATCCCTGAACATCCATGGACAAGGAAGGGCCTGAGGCATCGTAAGCATAAGTATATTCCTTACATGATGCTTACCTGACGGATTTTCTCCATCCTTGACCCTGAGCCATCTCCAATTAAGTACTCCGTATACTCGTCTCCATCCCCATAACCATAACCATAACCATACTTGGCCATCCACCCACAGGACTGGACGAACCCGGACGAACATGCTGTTGAAACGCGCGCACCTTGGTGGCCGTTGCATCGTCCTCGAACCGTTGCTCGCACCTCTCGCTGCGACTGCTACCCTCGACGGGGATAGTGGCCCATCCGCGCATCGATCCCGTATACCACGTTAACAGGGTCCAGTCTCCGGTCTCACCAGGCCTGCTTCATGGTGATGTAACTGCTCCAGTAGTAACTCCAGCGGCATTTCTCCTCCGCTATAAGTATGGCTCTATATGTACAGAGTAAGTAATCGCTCGGATGCTGCCCTTTCAAACCCCCATTGAAAATGCCACTGTTTCTGCTTTAACTAACTGCATAGGGTAAAGCTTTTTTCTTAGGGTAAGATACTCTGTTTTACGGAATATAATGTAATATGTATATTCCTAGCCACACCAGGCTTACGCACACTTACATCTAGACATCTTCTATCTAACCCTTCTTCTCTCCCCGTTTGCCTGATTTTACCTGTCTACCTGGCCCCCTAAGGCGTAACCTAACCATGCCCTAAGTGTGAATAGATATAGAATAAGGATAAAGGTAGTAATAAAGGATTAAGTAAGCCTAGTGTGGCTAGGGGACAGGAGTACCCATCTAAAACGGAGTATTTTACCATCGTTCTCTTTTTTTTTGCAGCCAGCGAGCGAGAGACTTACATCGTATTACGCATGTGGAAGTCTTTGTAACCCCTGTGTAATAATCGTATATAAAAAATTACATATGAAAGTATGTAACGAGCGAAAGTATGCCATTTTTAGAACTCGTTCTAGCCGTATGAGGAAAACATCTTTTTCTTTTGTTTGCGTGTATTAGCTGATACAAGGGGCCTCGCTTTCGCCCAAACAGAGGAAGGGTAATGTTACCTGGGATGGCCGCATCGGGAGAGATGAGACGACTCTGCCCTCTTTGGGCATGGCTCCTTACCATAGCTGGTTACCCCTTTTATACGCACGAGTACTCCATACGGAGTATACGGCGTACAAACTCCAGAAGGACTCCTGGGGTCGCAGGTATCATACCCACTGATCCTCACTCTAACCCAACACTTCTTAGTCCATCTCGACAGAGCGAGAGCAGCACGCTTCCTTAGCTAGCCTCCATCCTTCACCGTTGAGACCCTGGCCAAGCAGTTGGCGAGTCGGTATTAATAGCATCGCTGTTATCACTGCTTAAAACGGTGTCGTTTGGCCGTCGTATTCCATCCTCCGTGCTCCGTAGCGCATTCATTCCCTTATATATAACACATAACACCCCAGCATGGAGGATTGCCCCTAGTTATTACTCCGTCCTTAGTTATGTTATTTCACTCTACAGGCACTCGGAGGTCGGGTTAATCATGTGCTTGACAAGAGTCAGCCCAAAAAGTGTTGGTCCAAGGAGCAGCGAGTAGGAAACTGTGCCTCGCCTGCGCTTCCGTTGACCTGATTCTGTCTCTGCCCAACCTTTTTTCTTTTTAATACTGTACTCCCCCTTTCTCGTGGCTTCAGCCAACGTGCATTTCTATTTCTCCGTTGTTCTGTACCCGCCCGTACATCCATACTCACATATACATACATGTGAGCTATCGCATGACGAGAGGGAGATCAACAAAGCTGAAACACGCTGTCCACGATCAGCAAGATCCCGACTTCCCCCGCCGATCAAAGCGTCGGGACGAAAAAAGGAGAATTACCCAAGCGCTGATTGGTCACAGCGACCCTTTCGACACACGCGGCTTTGCTCCACCAATTACGGGAAAGGGAAACTGCTATTTTCTCACCATTGGCTGAATTTGTGTGGGGCACGAGAATACAAGCTTTCATGCCAAGGTCACGCTTGGACCGTCAGACCCCGATCTGGCCTCCCCGCGCGCCTCTGCCTCCGGAGGTACCTCCGCCGTCGGCTAAAGTGTTATGGCGACGGAAGTACCGCGCGCCCTCTGCCTCTTCCCCCCTGCTTCGACCTGCCAGATCTGGCATGCGCCCTGAGAGCCCTGAACCGCTGGACCAAGCGCATGGCGAACCATGGCACCAAGCGCCGTTGCGTCGGAGCAAGATGCTGCAGTCAGAAGGTCGATGGTAATCGCTATCTATCGCCCTCAAACGGGGAAGCTGACCATGCCCTGTGCAAGATGCTGGTTTTGCCATGTCACCCCTTCATCTGACACACAAAAAAAAAGAAAACCTCTTGCATTTACTCCGTACAAGTATATGTATATATCCTCATACGTAATGCGCGGTGATCGTCCCACTTTCACGTGGAGGCAAAGCGCCATGAAACGTCGGCTGGTCCCTCCTGCAAGTCGATCACGGTGGGCACTGACCAAGCTCTTTGTTTGCCTCTTGGGTGCATTCTGGAGGGAGAGGTATCTCACATATCTTTCATACCTGACACATCTCTCCCGATGAGCCCTCCACCAGCTGAAAACACAAAAAGACGGTTTAGCATTTAATTCCCGATTAATAGCCTTTTAACAGCCATTTGATCGCTCATCCGTCTTTCGCTGCCAGCCAGCAAGTACGCCGTACACCGTACACCGTTTCTTTCCTTCTCCCCATGGAGGGTAGTGGCTGGTCTCACGTGTGGTATGCAAATATGTTTATTTAATTACGTACATGATTGTCTGAGGATGGTCGAGGAAAGAAGCTGCTTCAAGCCGCGAGGCTGGCTCTGCCTCCTCGTCCCAATTAATATCAGTCTGGCCTCGTATTGCCGAGGCGTCAGGACGCCCGCAGTTCCATCTGTACATCGCAGCCCTCTTGTTTGTAGGCGGGAATCTGCTGTACTTCGACGATGGTGCTCCATACCTTGTATTCCGCGTCCCGATACCTGAAATCATACACCGTAGACGTAGAAAAAATAATAACACTAACTCTTCCAAGGGTGGATGGACCAGTTTGTGTCGATCAGGTGACCCACTGCCTGCCCGCTCATGATTCTCGTGGAGTCGAGGTCCTGCTGCCAACATCATCATCACCATCACCAACAATAACAATCGCAGCTCCAACCCCAACCTCATAACCTCAAGCTTCCAAGATAACGGAACAGCCCTTGTGCGACGTCGGTTGGGCCCTTTAAACGTGCTGGCCGCTGATCCTGAGGAAAAAGAGGGCCGTCCGTGGCGTCCTTCGCTGGAATAACTAACAAGAAGGTTGATCTTGTCTAACTTCACCATAACCAGTCTTTTCTTGCCCACCGCCCAGAACCAGCCACGGCAGGAAAACAAACAAGGAGATGTTTCATACCCATCTCATCTCGATTCGGGTAAACAAGCAGAGACGACGGGCTCTGGGTGCGATTCGATCTCGAACGATCTTACGCCCGAGAGAATAATGGTTCTCTCTCCTCCTCGTACCCTCCTACCCCAGGCACCCTGGCCCCCTTATAACAGAACCTGCTATTATTCTCGACATCTGCCCGTCTATTGGTCATGGTCGGTTAGCTAACCTGTTCAATACCCAATTTTTTTCCTGAGCGAGAAAGGCGAAATTCTCGATGTTTGTCTGTGTCTCGTCCACCCCCTGAGCGCTTTAGCTCACCTTCTCGCAGGATATATTTAGAACATAGGCGAGAGATGGAGACAGGAGCGAGGAGTGCGGCAAAAATGTTCCGTCCGAGAAAACGGGACGCCTCACGGGGTACAGAGTAGCTTAGCTTAGCTAGCTTGCTCAGAAGTCACCGTCTGGGTAAGAATCAAGGAATCAAGAGTGATGTGAAGACAAGGAGGGCATGAAAAAAAAAAAAAAACAAAGAAAAAAAAAACAGCAAAAGGCCTTCTCTTCTGGCAGGCCTTTGACTTTTCCACGCTCCCCTTTCTTCTCTTTTCTTTTCTTTGCTTCTTCTTTTTTCCTCGTGCGTGCCGTCTGGTGTGTGGCCATCGCGTAGATCTGCATCCCCCAGCAGAAGATCAACCCACCAATCCATGCTCACCCACTCCTATACACACTTCCTCAGGTTGGTGAAGGCATCAAGAACAAGGCATGGGCATGGCATGACATGGGCTGATGCAGCTGGCGAGGCAAAGAAGGCCATCGTGGTTCGCTAGAAGCCAACCATTCAGAGCAGCAGACCGGACATATCTCCAACCCCTCTATCGAACTCTCCATGGAATGGGTAAAGTATGTCAGTACAGATCGATCCAAGTACTCCGTACGGAGTACATATACATACATCCTCCTTGACACCCCTTTCAAACGATCTGTGCTTGACGTTTGAAGAGAAAGAAAGCCAAAAATAAAAACAAGAAGGGCGTATCTTCCCCATACGAGCGAATCTGTCGTATACATCTCGGCCTGAGTGGACGGAGGACTCTCCCTCCTCCTCTTTCTTCTCTTTTTCGAGGGAGTCAATACCTACAACCCAAATTTAATTACATTTGCCTCGTATTTGGCTTTCGGCCAAATCTGGTAGCCCGTTAGATGGTTTCTTTTTTCCCTTGCATGAGAGTACAACAAAAGAAGATGCGAGTGAGCCTTAAACCGAGACTGGACTAGCAAGACTTTCCCACGAGGCCAAACCCGCCTGCAGCATCCTGATCGGGGAGAGGCAAGTAGTGTGAGAAGACAAGGGAAGAGAAAGGTGACAGCCACATCGACCTGTTTAACGTGGCTCCTGTGGTGTCTTTCGCTTGTGACGAACTCAAAACACTCTGCTGGGCTGCCTCGCTTGTTGCTTCGGTATCACCACTACTGACCTGTCCAACTGCTCTGTACTCTATCGTATGACCACGAGGATAGCCATGCGATGTGATGGGATGTGACCGAGTACGGGATGTTCTGTGCTGCCGTTTCCGCTGCTCGTTTAGACGCCAGTCCACGAATAGACATTCAACGCATCCTAGTTATTATCAGTGATGCAGCAGAACCCGGGACAAGTGCCACAGGAGAAGAGGGAGAAAAAGAAAGATGAAATGAAAGGAATATCATGAATGGCACGGATCATATTCCCACCCGCCGCCATACCTCGAGACGCATATCAGAATGTCTGCGGTGAGTGCTGAGTGGTTAATTGTTCCGCGTTTCCAAAACACTAAGCCAAAGACAACAAGTCGAAGCGTCAACCAACCGTTCGTTTTTCTTTTGGGGTATATTTTTACTTTCTGTCTTTTTTTATACCTCACGATGCCCATAACCCACTAACTATATACATACGGTTGATCATCTTGCACTTATGATCTTTTCCCGATATCGGTTGTGTGAAATATGCCTTGGATGTACGCTCCCGAGCGCCAAAAGAGATTATGATGAGAAAATGGCTTTTCGGCACAAGACAGACTCCCAAGTCTTGTCTCGACTTTCGACCATCATCCGTTTAGACCGAGAAAAAGCAGAGTCCGAGAGCCGTGCCCCATCTGTAGATCGCACTCTCGGCTGAGAGGCGGACAAAGACTGCGGAGGGCTTCAACAACAGTAGCAGCAAATTCCAGTCATCAACATCTCACTACGACATTGATTATACAGGTACCCGGTTACATTATATTATATACTCTGTACAAGATGGAACAACGGAGATAGCTTCCACTGCGGAGATATCTTCCACTGCGAACGTTACAGCTGTCGCTCTCCATTCCTACTCCGCCCTGATGGGCCATGCTGGAAATCTGTCTCCTCATCGAGTGCAAAGAAAAGATGGCGTCCGTCGAAGATCGCCTGGATGTGATTGAAATCGCTAGTTCGAGCTCTCACTCGCTGACCAGCACCTAGACCCTCTTTTTCTTTTTTCTTTTTTCTTTTGTTCTCTCGAGGAAGCCCCGGCCACAAGGAAGTGTGCATGTCCGTCCGGTTGATCAACCTGCGTCGTAATGCACTTGTACCGCGGATGGATTCCCCCCCTTGGGAGACGCAGGAAAAAGAAATATAACACCAAGGAAAAGAAACGAAAGCGAAAAAAGGGTTTGCAAAAATGCTAAGAATAAACGCAGTCCTTTTTTTCACTTTACTTTAAACCCCCGGCGAGTCAGTAATTGCAATACGGGGGGTTTGGACAAGGTTTTCGCCGGCGTGTTATCGAGTTTATCCCTGACCCCATGGAGGAGACGAGGAAAAGGCAGAGAGAGAGGCAGAGAGAAGAGACCATCATTCCTT